GACCACAACGCGGCCTCCCAGTTTTCGCGATCCTTCCTACCGTTGGTGCACAAGTGATTTACTACACCACATTACCGTTCCGAGCTGATCGCCAGTACTAACGTGTTGGCCTTGATTGCTACGGCGCCATGGCTCGTAGATCGACGGAATCGCCCCACTCCGCTGACTTTCGATCACAACTTGCACCGACGGCCTAGCACCCTCTATGGCGGATCGCCGTGTCTTATGCGCCCTGGATGAAGATCACCTGATAGCGTATTGGGAATCGACCCATTACCTCGAGATCACGAAAGCAATGCCCGCCACGGTCTCATGATCTCTTCGTCTACCACCAGGATCGACGTCAGCGGCGCATCCGCGTCGGAGATTGCGGGCGGAAACAGTTAGGAGCGTGCCTCCCGATGATGCGGAGCCAGTAGGCCGATATCGCCCTCCTGCTGGATCCTTATTTCCTCCACATGCCGACGACCCAAGATCGAGTACGCTAGTATCCCGGATCGGTCTCCAGGGCTGCCAATCTCACGTGGCCGACCGCGAATATCCCCGAGCCGACCGACCTGATCACGGCCCGGTTCGAGTGCGATCAGGCCGATCCCTAGCGGTACTATTACCATGATACAGGCTCTGTTCATCCATCGCTGCAGATCCTTCGTCTTGCGAACCAATTCAACCCTCCGGCAGCTCCTTGATCCTTGGATCCGACTTCAATCCGGGGAGAACCGTCGTGATCCCCACTCGCTATCTCGCGATCGCGATCTCTCCTTATCCCTCCGTAATTCATAAATCTCAGCCTCATCTTCCACTTGGTTGCTCTTTTCGTCGCTCCTCCTAACTGATCTCTCTTCAGACTCACCATGTCTTCCGTGATCTCTTGCGAAGGTCGGCGTTTCCATTTGTACATATACAACATGAACTCCTGATCTCGGTCTTATCTGACCTGTACTTCCTCGGGGTCGAGACGATCAGGTAAACTCACCCCGTCTTCCTTACTCCTCTTCATGTGATTGCATCACGTTGAAGCGATTACGATTCGCATGTTCCCGTAGGAAGGTGTTCAGTATCGCTCCGCAGTTGAGATCGGCTTCGTCGACCCAGGTCAGCTCGTTATATCCTACCCAATGCACCAGAAACTCTCGGTAGATCCGACCGAATCGCGTTTTCTTCCCACTTTGTACGTCCGAGATACGTTCGACTTCGTACTCGTTGCCTCCGAGATCTGGGACCCAGCTGTTCTCCGGAAGCAGGATCTCATCGAAGTCGAGGCGATCCGATTCGTCCACCGTGAGTTCTATTCGCGGCCGATCCGGAAAGTCCTTGACCAATTTCAGCTTCGACACGTGAACTACTGGGAAGATCGGGTACCCGGTACCTGCGATATCGAGCTTGAGGGTGAATTAGTTGATCTTTTCGGCGACCCGAAACGGCCCGTGCGAAAGGTGAGCCAATTTCCGCGCGTATCCTTCCTTCACCCGATCTAGGTATAACCAGATGCGAGATCCGGCTTCGATCTGGTGCGATCCGACATCCTCGTTGTGTCGAAAGGCCCAATCCGCGATGGCTTCTCTCAATCTAACGTTGACTTGCTCCCGCGACTGATGATAATGTCGTTGGACCCGATAACGCCACCTTCGTGCGTCTCGATCGCGCCGCCTGGTGCACCCGACTGGCAGGGTAGCCTCCAACGTCGATCTCGGATCCCACCCATGCACCAGATAATGGGGGATATCACCTCGAATCCTATCGTGGGCCATGTTGATCGTGAAGGTAAGTTGCTCAGCATACTCATCCCAATATTCCTGATCGAGATCGCGAACGTACATCTTGAGTGCCCTGGTCGCAGTCTGCACCATTCTTTGTGCGATCCCGTTGGCTTTCGGCCGATATGCCATCGTCGCTTGCTGCCGTTGTCCCATGATCTTGTTAAACGCCCGGAAGAAGTCGGACATGAATCCCGGTTCTCGATCATGCCGGATCATCTCGATGGCACCGAAACGTCGCAATACACACTCTTCGTACGATTCCGGGACCTCTGGACCGACCGGGACGAGCTAGCTTTCGCGATCAAGTATCCTGTGAACAGATCGACCCAGATCAATAACTCAGTGTTCCCCTTGCGGGATCTAGGCAGCGACGGTATGGGATCCATCGCAATGATCTGGAACGGGTACGTCGCCTGCAGGTTCCCTGGTGATTCACTCCGGATCACGGGTTTTCCTTTTCCCGTTTCACAGTTCACGCATTCCCCCACATTTCCCTGAACACTCCGATATAATCCTCTTCAGTGGAAGTGATCCCTGATCCGCTGGTAGGTACGCCCCACTCCCTGATGTCCGCCTTCCAGCGTAGTGTGATAGTGTTGCAGGATGTCAGATTGCTACGTTTCGGGCACCACCAGTCTCAGCAAGCGATCGCGATCATCCCCCGATCTCGGCGTGGGAGGGCAGTAGAAGAGTAGATCTTGCTTGTCCACCTCATAATCAGTCGCGATCTTGCCGTACGATCTCGCTTCTGCCTGCGTGAGGTCAGCGATCGAGCCACTCAGATACTTTTCATACCTGCGATCCAGACTTCCTCCTCCTGGGCCTGCCTGATCCGATCGACCCACATCTCCCGGATCCGGTCCTTGTGCGTGACTCCCGAGGGTGATCTTACTCGAAAAGCTCGGGTGGTGACCGCCGCAACTCGCACCACCGGGGTTTCGGTCTTGGGAATCAGGATTTCGTCCAACCGGTTCAGGGTGACCAGATCATGGTATTTGGACCCTCCTTGGACCTCGATCCCGCCTTGGCGTTGCAAAGCGGCGCTCGCTAGCCTGTCTGCACTCCCATTCCAGTCTCTCTTCACATGCACTAGTTCATGATTGATCCATTGCCTCAGGCGATCGAGGGCCTTCTGTTTTATTAGCGTCAGCCCGGGTGCTTTGCAGTCGATCCCGCCCCGTACTTGTCGGATCACCAGGTTGGAATCACCGCAGACCACCAGGCGTCTGCGATCTAGGCTCTCTAGCATGTCGAGTCCCAGGATCAGGACGTTGTATTCTGCTTCGTTCACGGTGAGGCTCTCGAAATAGCCCAATCTAGCTTTCACCACCTCCTATCCGGGCAGACTTCACTCGATTGCGCTGAACGCGCCCCCACAACGCTTTAATCGAGTCGATCCATCAAACCTGACCACCCATAATTTCTCTTCTCGATCTACGGTGGGTATCGGCGCTTGGATCCGGCGTTTAGGTTCCTTTCGAGGAGCGATATCGGTCAGAGCGTCGTCCATTTTTGCCCTCGGCGTATGCTGGCAACGACCGTCCCCAGTATCTCGTCTTCGCCTTTCGTACACTTAGTGATCTCGAGAGTCCACGGGGCTAGGAGAGCTGACCATTGCCCTAGGCGACCCTGTAATCCTGGCGACTTGAACAGTCAGGCTAACGTGGAATGCCTCGTAAGGACCCGGATCTCGCGTCCCACCAGTAAATTATAATAGAGATCCAAGATCATCAGCAATGCCAACACCTTCTTTTCGGCCACGCTATAATTTAACTCGTTCGTCTTCAAGGTGCGACCGGCGAACGCGACCGGATGGTAGATCCCGTCGTGTTCTTGAGTCAACGAAGCGGATATCGCCCAATCACTGGCCTACACGATAACTACCTGTGTTCTCGCCTCGTCGAAATGGCGGAGGCCTGGGGTAGTCGCGATCTC